AATGCTGAGAGGGAACAACCGTGAATGCTTTCTAAGATCAGCCTCAGACAACAAACCTGGAGTAAGTTTCAGGTTCCAGTTCAGGGCCAAAACTCAAGCCACCACATTCACTTTACCAACTGTCCTGCTACAGTCAACAGTATCAAGTGCATCTGATAGAAAACTTAGCAAAAACATCTGCTTTTCACCCGGAGTGACCTACTCTGAAAAACCCCACTATGTGTGCCAGTTCGAAGCCCCTGACCCATGTAAGGGTTACAGGTAAACCTAGAACTCCTTCTCATGGTGAGGTGGGTGTCTCCCAAGATACCTAATCCAAAGCTTTTAATCTGAAATACCCTGTTCCACTAACCCCATTTCCATATTCCTACAGAAAAAAACATAACTGTTCAGATGAAACATATTTAGACCTTAAAAGATGTATTCTTTTGGTAACATGAACTTTTTCCCTGACTTGTCACAAGGTGTCCACTTTTTCCCAGGTGATTTTCTCCAGAGCAGGGCTGTTCACAGTAAAGGCAGCTGTGGCTCAAAGTAGCAGCTGCCCTGATGATACTTTTCCTCTTTATTTTCCTTTGCATCTGCAGTTCTCATGGAAGATGCCACATGCTCTTCCACAAGAACTATGATGGTAGTCAGCTGAGGCTGGAAAAGGACATTATTTTGTGTCTAGTATTTACTTTAGATCAGTGCCAGCCCACTCTGAAAGCCTACCTTTATTTCCTCTTCAATGGTGTGCTTGGCTGAAGATTACTATTCCCCTACTTAGTAAAAAGCCTCCTGAATGGTGACAAGCATTTCAAGATAAATGCTTTTGAGTCCTACTTTTATCACAGTTTGAGTCCTAGCTTTATTTCCTGAATGGTACAGCTATACTCTAAAACAGTTTTTTCCCCTCAGCTATCTCTACACTCCTAGTTTAAACACCCACAGTTAATCTCATGCAAGCCTCTAGCTATTTTTTGGAAAAGCAATTTTGAAGCTAGCAATCCAGTCTCATTTTCCATGATTTTAAAGGAGGTAACAGATAATTTCAGACATGGGTAACAAAGGCAGGGAATGAGGAAAATGGGTGTCTCCTGTTCAGGGCTGCTGAGTTGCCATGTTTACAGCTCCAAGCAGGCTGCTGACCAGCCACAGCTCCATCTGTAAAATGATCCAGCTACTGTACTCTTGACTTTTGCAAGTTATGAGCAGCCACAGGAGATTGTGTAAGTGCTGGAGCAGCTGCAGAACCTTTCCCTCACTGAACTACTGAGGAGGCATGCCAGCTTGTTTGTGTGCTCCTCCACAACCTTTCACCTACTTTGGCTGTTTTGGCTGTACTGGGAGCCCCCAGCAACTTGACAGCTTGTGCAGCCACAGCGTCGGGTGACAGAAAGATGAGAACGGGAAGATATGACCTTTGTTTTTAATGCTATTTCTGTCCTTTTTTCCATGTAAAGGGCCACATAAATATTTAGAAAACAAATGTATCAGTAGGTTAAAGTATCAATCCAATTCCATAAATGCAGACCCATCTGCAGGCGGAGGGTGAGTGATTTGCCCTTGGTACTGCAGGAAATTTCACGAGGTGCTGTGAATATGACTCAAGCACTTGTCACCAGACTGCTCTGCTTACTTTCAAAACTTCCTAGTGCTACCATTAATTTCCACCCAGACTTACTGCTCCTTCTGGGTTATCATTTACCCTTCCTTACAGAAGCTGAATTAGAAGTTGCCTTTGTCCCCAGCAGAAACTGTTAGTCTGGTTCCATAAAAGAAAAATCTGAAGATGTTACCTGTCCACCTGTTCACCAAACCGTCCCTCCTAAGCATTTTAATCAAATTTGAATAATAATCAATTCCCTACAAACTGTGTACAAACTAGCAGGTGGTTTAGGGAGGAGAGATTAAAATTTTGCTACACACCGGATAAAAGGGAGGGGAAACTCAACCAGACTCATTCTACTAGAGAGTAGCAACCACATCAGCAGACATCCCACATATTCTGGCTGGTCAGGAGAGGGCACTCATCCCAGCACATCCTAATGGGTCTCCAGCACTTGTTGGGTTAGGAAAAAGATCCTTACATTTTTGTCTGTCCCCACAGAGAAAAAGAAAGGGCAAAAGCAACCATGATACTTTTTTTCAGACATCAGTAACATGGTCAGTTATTACACAGGCTGCCTGACCAGGAACACAGCTCTGACCTCAGTACAGCACGCTGTGTCTCTGGCAGGGGCGAGGACACAAGGAACACGAGGCGAGAGACGGCTGATTGCAGTGGAGAGCTATTAGGAGACAAATGGACAGGAATCCAGGCTTCATTCATTCCACTCTTCTGGACCCATCTGTTGTGGAAAAAAGCAGAATGTTAATGCAGCTCCATTTTCTTAAGCATAGTCAGCAACATTACTGTGACCAAGCAACTGCAAGTGTTGCTACTGCCTTTTCAAAACTTGCCCCAGGGCAGTTCAGAAGAGGTAAGTTAAAATATCTAATCTGATGAATACTCCAGTTCAGAATTTGGCACTGCACTTCATAGCCATTGTTCTCTGACACCTGCACTTAAAAATGTCATGTGTTTCAGAAGGAAGGTGAAAGGGTGGTTGGAGAGGAAATAAAGTGAGAACACTGCTAAAGATAGGCGAGATGGAGGCATTATACGAAGTGGTTACAATTTTCACAGCCTAGTTCACCTGCATCTTGGCTGATGATGAATCCTCCTATATTGTTGCATTTGTGCCTAAAACGTAGCTGTCTTGCTCAACATTCAGGACATCCATAATTACTTCACAGACATTTAGTTTATATATGCAAGAATAGAAATTAATGTTGGTCAGAACCTCCTGTAACATATAACCATCATACAAAGAGCAAGGAGCAAATCTGAATTATGAAGGAGACACACTTCTCTTAGAAGACCATCTGAGTAAAAAACCCTCAGTTGTTGTGCTGCTGATGTGTAAAATTCTTGTAGAAGTTTGTTTTGATTTGAAAAACACCCAGGTTTTGAGTTACTGGAGCCTTGTCCTTTTAACAAATGGGGAAGGCAACACGCTTCCTGTATTTCCTGCAAGTACAATTTTACCTTTGTTCACAGCTAAATTGTATGTAAGATATTTGTTCATACCTTAGTGCATATAACTACCAGGAAAACAATAAGAAAACAAGTTGCTGTAAAGAAAATTAATGCAAACAACAGAAATTGTTCTTAGTAGACTATTTCCCTATTCAGACTGCCCACAAACGATATTTGAGTTACTTATATTAAGCAGGCTCAGCAAACCAACAGATTAAATAAAGCATCTCATAGGAATAGAAATAATGACCTTATAAACTGCAACAACTGCCTGCTGCAGAGAACTTCCTGATCCAGATTTTATTGCAAAGAGTTAATTTTGAGGTCCCTGCTTGCCACTGATTAGTGGCTTAAGGAAGAGAGTGGGACTAAACAAAAGCTATCCTACATGTTTCATGGTTTAAACAAATTTGTATGATATTTTCACTTCTGTGACTCATCTGCAACTTGCAGTCAAACCAAGTTGAAACAGTCAAAAACAAATCTCAAATTCTTAATTTTTTAACTTCTGGAAAGGACAGGAAAAATCGAAGTCATTATATTTGCTGCTATTTGATGTCTAAATTTTGCTTCATTTCACATTTCATATGCCAACATTCAATCACTGTGGTAAACCAGAATATATCTCATGGAAAAATAACAGAATAATTCTCCCAATAAAATAATAAAACAGGGAGCAATAAAATAATAAAACATAAAGTACAGCGGGAGTAGAACCATAAGTAGGGTTAACAGATATACTAGGAAGACAATAATGAGATAAAGTTTAAAAAACAGTCTAATGACAAGCTAAAGTATTTTCCTATGTTTATCAAACTACATGCACAGCTTTCTTGTGAGGAATTTGATCTTCCTTCCCTTGAAAAAGAGTTTACATGTTTGTGTAAATATATGCATATAAAATTGGACTGGAGAGTTGGATGCAAATAATAGGGCACAATTATTTTGTATTATTTTACTGCCACATGCTCCTGCTGTTACAGACCAAGTTTTTGGGTGTCAGAAAGCTCTCCCCTGACATTAATTCCATTCTTCCATGCCTTATGCAAACCCTGCCCTCAGTGAAGTGGCCTGGGGAAAAAGCCAGGCAGCACTGGAGATCCAAGCTCCTTCCCCAGCAAAGAGGAAAGGTGAGGGGGCTTTTCCCAGCTCGACTGTGACCCTGGGAGTTGAGCTATCCCTGAGAGCTTTGTGTCATCCCCTCCTTAGGTCAGCTCTTATGACAGTAAATAAAGGCCACATGCAGGCTGATCTGCGGCCAGTGCGTCACCAACACAGCTGTCCTCGGGTATTTGGTCACTATTAACCAGGTCACAGCCATGACCTACATGTCGACAACCTGAGGCTGGGATCTGATTTTGCTCCCTTTGCCTTTTGCAGTCGGCCAGCCGACCCTGGAGCTACGCTGTCAGTGCCAGCACTGCCAGCACCCCCTGTATGAATGCAAACACACAATTGCCCCCTGTCAGTGCCAGCACTGCCAGCATCCCCTGTATGAGTGCAAACACACAATTGCCCCGGGCACCATCGCGCCCCTCAGGCCGGGCCATGGCGCCGTGCACCGCTTCCCCCCGAGCCCCGGCGCCCGGTGGGTGCACAGCCCGCACAGGGCCGGACCCTGCAGTCCGTGAGGGGCGGCAGCAGCACGGCACCCCGACAGCTGGGCACGGCCGCCCTGCCAGCCTCGCCCTGCCCCTGCCCGGTGCACAAGGTCACCGCGGGCGGCGCAGCAGCAGCAGCAGCAGCAGCAGCCCCCGCTCCGTGTGGCCCCCGTCCCAGCACCCCTGGCACTGCCCGTGCCGCTGGCGAGGCGCCGACCAGGCCGGGCCAGGCACGGGGAACGCCGCCAGCGCCGTCACGAGGGGCCCGGGGGGCGCGGCCTGCCGGAGCCCCGCCCCCCTGCAATTGTAAATAGAGGCGCCACGTGAGGCCCCCCGCCACAGGCGAGGGGACGGTGACAGTCCCGGGTTCCGCGGAGCACTCGCTCTCTCAGCGATCGCTTACCTGCTACGCACCCGCCGGCCCGGCAGCGATGAAGGCCGCCCGCATCGCCCTCCGCAGCGCCGCCCCGCTGGCAGGGGCCAGCGCAGGCAGCAGCAGCGGCCGGCTGCCACAGGAGGTGGAGCAGTTTTCCCGCTTCTCCCCCTCCCCGCTCTCCATCAAGCAGTTGTTGGACTTCGGTGAGAGTCGGGGGGAGCGGAGGGAGGTCGGGGCTGGGGGGCAGCCCAGACTCGGAGGCTCGTTTCCCATGGAGGAGCGAGCCCGGGGGCTGCCGCGGGCAGGGTGCAGGAGCAGCGCCCTGCGGGACAGAGGAGGCGGCGATCCCCGCCGGAGGGGTCCGCGCTCAGTCGCGGCCGCCCCCCGGCTCGGCTGCCCAGCGGTAGGGCGGAGGAGGGGAGCGGGCCCGCCGAGTATTCCCAGCCCCGATGGTGGTGGTGACGGCGGGGAGGTCGCCTCGGCCGGGCATCCCCGGCCGCAGTTACCCGCGGCCAGGTGCCAGGGGCTGGAGACCTGCGGGTGCCGCCATCAGAGCTGAAGATGCGCTCCAGCACTGCTTCGGCGGTGTTCGGAGGGTGCGGGCACTGAGAGGGACATGGGCTGCGGGGCGTGTTCCTGCTCCGCGCACACGGAGGCGGGAGGAGCCATCCGGCGGAGCGAACGCGCAGTTCCCAGGTCCCGTTATCGCTCTGGCGGCTGGGCGCACATGATAGTGCCCGACGTCACCCCGGACAACCTCCTGTTTACAGAGGCCGGAGTGCTTCTTAGGGGATTACAGTTAAGTCTCATGCCTAAATGGGAACTGGACAAGTACTCCGTCCAGGAACACGCTGTGTCTTACTGTCATGTAAACAGCGTTCTCCATAAACATATAACGCCTAACACTTAGATGAGCCGGCCAGTAAAAACCTCATGATTGCAGAGAAATAGAGTCCTGAAGTTTATGGGAAATCAGCAATCTGTATTTGTATTTTGAAACTTCCTTAAACAAAAACTGTATTTTGGATTTATTCATAGGCTCGACTAATGGATGTGAGAGAACTTCTTTTGCATTTTTGCGACAGGAACTTCCTGTGAGGTTTGCAAACATCTTGAAAGAAATTGATCTTCTTCCTGATAAATTACTAAGCACTCCATCAGTAAAATTAGTAAGAAGCTGGTAAGTATGAACTGCTTTAATTCAGCATGCAATGTTACACAGCTTTGAGAATTTTGTTGTTACAGACTTTTTTGAATAGTAGAATCTATAACAAAATACAGTAGAAATACAGTTCCTTCATGAAATCTGAGTTGCAAGCTGTTACACACTTTCCTTTTCTAGCATACTAAAATTAAATTGCAAACGAATATGATTATATTGTTATCTTTAAAAAGGTATGGGGGGCAGGGAGTTAACAGTTTGAAATAGCAAATGGAGAAGGGAGAAAAGAAAACATGTTCTGTTTCCATACAGCATTACAGACTCTGAGACCCACACAGATGGGAAAACAGGCTATGTATTTTGATCTCTCACTGAAGGAGTTACTAACAGAGCTTCTATGCCAAAGTATATTGTCTTGACCTGTGCAGCAAGTGTTTGAAATTCAATTACCATAATCCCTGCAGTTGACACAGTGGTTGAATCTGATTTAACCTTGCTTACTGGCACAGTTGCATCATTTGCCAGGATGGCTGACATAAAGAGCAGAAGTGTTAGAATCAGATCTACAAACTCTTAATACAGCAAACTGTTGTGCCTTTGCTGTATGCGTCAAGGCTGTCAAGATGTTAGTGCAAGCGGCTCAGCTACTTAGCTTCTGTTAAAGCTGATCAGATTTGGAAAAATTTTGCTTAAGTGGATTCCTGATTGGCATTGTCATTTGCATCTTCTTCTGAAATACATCTCTTCTAAAGAATTATAAGGAGATCTTGTGTACCTTAAGTGAGGGCTTAGATTTCTCTCTGGTGACAGGCACAAGAAAAGACTGAAAACTTCTGGAGTTCAGGCAGTCAAGAAATGTCGATCTGTCATTCCATTGTTTGTTGTAACTTGGATATTTCAAAGATACTTAAAGCTCCTAGATGACTTGTTAGGACTAATGATGTGCACAAGACAAAGTATTTTTGATATTACTAGATCAATAAAAATCAAATTAATAGCATATATTTCTTATCTTCTTTTTCAATAGGTACATCCAAAGTCTAAAGGAGTTGATTGAATTCCATCAGAAAAGCCCAGATGACCAAAAAGTCTTATCTGAGTAAGCTTTTCATGTTTTTCTTTGAACTTTTTAGTTCACATTCTACTTTTCACAGTATATTCACTTTAGACTAACAGCCAAGATGGTCTGAATTTGATAATCTATCAGGAAGAGCTGAACATAGAACAAGCTGGTCGAAACCTCTGACCATGTCTAGCAGTACTGCAAATAAATGTGACCTGTTGCAGCCTAATTTCAAGGTCATATTGCCCCTTGAACTGTCATGACAGAGAAATACAGAAAAAAAAATTATCTCTGCAGTCATATCTCTGCTTTTTACCAAGATGCCAGCTTGGGATCTTTTTCCTTTCCTTACATTTTCCTCTGCTCAAATAGATGAGTAAACAGGGGGTGAATTTGATATGGCTCATTATACCTTTTGTTTTAAAAATGCCAAATACTTCTGTGTTAGGTCAATAAAGAATTACTTTTAAAAGAGTAAAAAAGAAACCACACCATATTTTAGTATTAAGGCTGTTAAGCACTTATCTGTGCTGGTGCTAGATCAGATAATTACATTATACAAAGCTTGCTTCTATGTAGTCTGAGAATAATGTTCTAAAAAGATTTTTTTTTAACCTAGCTTTATAGATACTCTAATTAGAGTCCGAAACAGACATCATGATGTGGTTCCTACAATGGCACAAGGAGTAATTGAATACAAAGACACTTTTAAAGTGGATCCTGTCACCAATCAAAACATCCAGTATTTTTTGGATCGTTTTTACATGAGCCGTATTTCCACCCGGATGCTAATGAACCAACACAGTAAGTAGAAATTTTTACCTAAGAAACTTCAAACTAATGAGTACCATGTTAATGTAAACACTTCTTAAAACTGCTGGGGAACTGCTTTACATGATTTTGTGTGACACTCAAAAGTTAGAAACTGAATCTATCACTTAAGAAAGTAATGGGAAAACTTGTTTTCTAGACTACAGAACAATTGAAATAGCTCTTTTGTGGAATATGTAGGGATATCATTCTTTATGTCTGAAAAACCTTTAGATGTGAACTACAGAAAAACCAGCATAGTTTGCTGACAGTAGATAGTACTTTAACTCATAAAAGGCATAAACAATATTCAGTATTTTATGTAATTATATGTTGCAATCACACTGCATTAGTCTCAGTTTTGGGGTTTTTTTATAACACGGTATTTGGGATTAAATGTTGTATTGTTCTCATGTCAAACAGCTCTTCTTTTTGATGATAAGTCTGGCTCGGGGCACCCAAGGCACATTGGAAGTATTGATCCTTGCTGTGACGTTGTTGAAGTAGTGAATGGTGCGTATTCTCAGAGCTTTAATGTTTCTCTTCCTAATCAGTGTCTGTATCTGATTGCAAGCAGTTTGGGTAACCAGCTTCAGTTGTAGAGGATGCTGACTGGCTTTAGTCGAAATAGCTGAAAGCAGTCTAATCAAATCATGAGCTTTTAGAGGACAGAATTTAAAATACAAAATAGCAGTAAAAAAACATGTTGGAGTAAGTCCTAGCAAGTGACAGATGAGGTAGGAGTTAAATTGTCTGAGGTGTTGAGATTGGCTTTACCAACTGGTAGATAACAGATGTATCAATTCCATACAATTATCAAACTGTACAAAGATTTGCTCATGCATCTGTAATTGCCCCTTGTTCTCAATTTTTAGTGCACACAGTGGATGCAGTGTTATCATTCCCTTGGGACACATTCCAGACTTAGACTGTCGAGCACCTTAGCAGCTAAGGTTAAAAGCTGTATTCTGCCTTGCATTAGAATGAATTTTTGACAACATTGCTTGACATAATACTTCATATAATTTATTTAAATAATTATTTCAGATGCTTATGAAAGTGCCAAGTTGTTGTGTGACCAGTATTACTTGACATCTCCTGAACTGAAGCTTACTCAAGTGAATGGTAAGATAAGAGCCTATCAGTATCCAAAACTGAGTCAAAAGTCTCCTAATTCTGTAACCTTAGTGCACATACCAGTTGATCTGGCTTGGGGTAGTTCCTCTTCCATTTTCTATTATAGGCACCTCATTCAACCTCCCATGTTAGAATTCAAATGTTGGTGTATCTTAATCACAACATTTTTGAAGTTCCATTTATAAATTTGAGAAAAGTCAGACAAACTTGTATCTAAAGTAATATGAGAAGTTGCTAGAGAGGACCTCCATATCTGGAGTGAGGAACTGAGGCTGCTGACTGAAATGCTGGGTCTGGTTTGAGCTGCCTGCATGTGTCTGATGACAGCAGTCTGCTTAATGTTTGAAATCCTTTATAAATAAAAGGGGAATAAATATTTGATTTTTTTATTTGTTTATTTGAAAAGAAACTTATTCAGCAATTGACAATTGTAATGTAAATACTGTAATGAATGCATAAAGCTGTTTGCCAGTTTTGGAGAGGGGAAAACCAAAAATGAAACTTGATTTATTTTTTTGTTTGTTTTGGCAGCTTGCTCATTGTAAAATTTGGATACCATAGAAAAGTGTAATCACTCTTTTAAGTGTTTTTATTTTTCCTTTCCTTTAGGAAAAGCTCCAGGAGAACCAATTAGCATTGTATATGTTCCATCTCATCTTTTTCACATGCTTTTTGAGCTCTTTAAGGTATGTTAGTATAGACTGAGAGAGTGAAGTGGGATGTGGGATTGTGGCCACCAGTAGCCGTCTGCTTTTAGAGATTACATTTGCTGGTTTGCCCTGCTGCCTTTTCCATTGTGGAATGGACAAGGTATTTAAGGAGTAGTGAGTGCAGCTGAACTTCAGTGCTGCCAACATGACATACAGAAATCTGGCATCCTTTAGCAGCTGCTGAACTTTGCCCTTCTCCAGAAACCTGTTGACTTTAAGGGAGTTATATTATTTAATTTACAGTGCCTGAGTTGATGTTGGGCAAGAATGTTGTAATCTTTCACTCAGAAGAGTCTTGGCTATGCTTAGATGCTGTAAATTGTGAGACCTCCTCTCACACCTTTAAATGATGATAAATCTGCTCCCATTATGCCAAAATGCTAAGTGTGTCTCTTGGAAACCAGGCACTGATAGGAGTAGAGGATAATTTTGCCTCTGTGTAAAAAGGGATATGGTTTGAAGTGCATGGATTCAACAACCTCTGATCACAGTAACCTTCTCTTCCATAGAATTCAATGAGAGCAACTGTTGAATTCCAAGAAAACAGTCCTACCCTTTCTCCAGTTGAAGTGATAGTTGTTCTCGGGAAAGAAGACCTGGCAATCAAGGTATTTTGTTGGCCTACTACAATGGACTTACTGTAATGTTTGTTATTATACATGCACAGCTGGTTCTGTTAAAAGATCTGGCCTCTGAGAACAGGTTGAAGACACTGTGCATGAGCACAAGAGCATTCTCATGATGATATGAGCCTCCATGTAGCACAATTATCTAGCTGAATAGTAATGTGCTGCAAAAGAAATCTTTGCATTTATGACTGTTGGAAAGGTGTGTTCAAATAACAGCGTTTTAAATACCATTCTTAGTGCATGCTTGTTATTAACTTTGTTCTCTCTTAAATCAGATCTCAGACCGGGGAGGTGGTGTTCCCGTGAGGAAAATTGAGCGGCTGTTTAGCTACATGTATTCCACTGCACCAAGGCCAAACGTGGATGATTCTCGAAATACCCCTCTTGTAAGATACTTTCAATACTCATGTTGCAATTTCGTTGTTGTAAGTGTTGGTGGGTTAATAATGAAGCACTGTGTCCATCCTGCTGTTCTGTCGGGTATTCAAAGATTTACTGTGCTCCATAAGTATGAATTTACACTTTCTGAAATAGAATTTTAGTATTTAGCTTAGTGGACAAAAATATACTTTCAAAGGCATAAAGAAGAACATTACAACCTGAATCTAGCCCCCTCATTTTCTTCTTCCTGCATTACAATGACACTAATTTACTTTGTCCTCACTCTCCATTCAGTCCTCAAACTTACTGTAGATCATGAAGTCTTTCTGGAGGCAAGCACAACTGGAACAGTCTTTTAGATTATTATGTTTATCTCCCAGTAGAAAGCTCCTTTTACTAATCAAGCTGTACTAGCAATAACAAGGGAGGGAAAAATACTGAAATTTAATGTGCAAAAGTGGGACATATGTATAGACCCTCCCTCTTCCATGAACACCTTTTTTCTTGTGACTTTGAGTTTTTAATGGTCAACTTCAGCATTCTCTATGAAACTGATTAGATATTTATGTTTTCTTCTAAGAGAAGAGGAAATTCAAAGGATTTTTTTAACAGCTTAAAAATCTCTGATGACTTTCCAGCTATTTAACTTGAAGCCATTAGAGCTAGTAAAAAAATAATTAATTTTATATTGTACTTTATTTTTAGGCTGGCTTTGGGTATGGCTTGCCAATTTCTCGTCTGTATGCTAAGTACTTTCAAGGAGATCTAAATCTTTACTCCATATGTGGTTATGGAACAGACGCTATCATCTACTTGAAGGTATGTATTTAAATTGGGTTACATAAAAGATTACTACCCTTACTGCAGTGGGATAACTACTTGTTACCATTTTAAGGTAAACAGATTTTCTGCTCATGAGTAGCTCTTATTTTTTCCTTGAGAAATGACAGATTTAGTAACTGGTTTTTAACTGGTATCAAAAAAAGTCACTTAGCTTTAACTAGTCTACTTGAACAACTGCTAGTGAGAACCCTGTTGGTTTTCAGATTGTGTTAAGGTGTTACCTACTTGTTCATGGAATACCAAGTACTCGAAGTCTGAGCAACAGATCTGGTTTGTTTACTCTGAAAACCAGAAAGTCTGTATAAACTAAATCCCTAAGGAGTCAAGGTGCTACTCAACATCTGCCATAAAGCCCCTCTGTTGGATTCAGATACCAGTAATTTTGAACACCGGCCATATAACTTGCACTGCTGTTTCTATAAGAAACCTGCAAACAATACTACATGTTCTTTTCTATTTTCTGTGCCTAATAGTGGGAAAAACTTGCTTTGAATTCCTCTTGCTAAACTGAAAACACTGAAGCACAATCAGAGCAGAAGTAGGAAAGGAAGAGACAGTTTAGCTATATATATATTACACTTCTGTTGAAAAATTTTCACTGGAATTTTGCCAACCAAAGTCCTTTTCCATGCATTCCTGGACTATCTTGAAAACATGTTAGAGGCTACTGCTTAAGGCCTGTGAAAAATGCATAAATAGGATGAGATGTTACTGCAGTTGTCCTACCAAATTACCCAAACCAATCATAGATACTGAAGCACATAAACTACCACACCTATTGCAGAAACATTTGTGCAAATAACTTTGTTTTGTACTGTCACTGGCTTAACACTTTAGGCATGCTGAATGAGTTTTTGCTGAGTGACATTATTGAGAGATACTAACCTGTTCCTTCTTGACTTCTAGGCCTTATCAACAGAATCAATAGAAAAACTCCCAGTTTTTAACAAATCAGCTTCCAAGCATTACCAGGCTACCTCAGAGGCAGATGACTGGTGTGTCCCAAGTAAAGGCCCTAAGAATATGGCAAAGCAGAGTGCAGCTTCCTGAAGAGAAGCTGATATCGAGACATCCCAGGGGATCAAGCTGGCTTCAAGAGCTGCATTTGGAAGTATTCATCTACCTTCAAACAAGCAAGTTTCAGGACTAGCAGAAGAAAAAGAAGATAAGGAGTATCATAAACATAGGCTATATGCACTGAATCTGAAGTGAATATCCACTGAATCCTGGCTGTGGACTTCAGGATGAGGAAAATAGGAGCACATATGTCTTTAAAGAAGAGCTGTGTATAGAGAAAAATCAAGCTATTTTTTTACTATGATCAAAGACTTGGTGTGGTAGGGGTGTGCAATTTTTAAATCCTGTTTAATGCTTGAATTCTTAATACTGACTGATAAACGAGTTATGCTGATGCATATTTTTCTGTTAGAATAGTTATCAGCAGTTTATCTTATTACAGAACTTCTCAGGTAGATAATTAGCATCCATACTTTAAAGTTGTATTTATAATATTTGGAAAAGATATACTTAACATGGCAATCTTGTAGCAAGATACAAACAGCATTCAAGTACAGCCTGACTGGAAGGGGGGGAGTCTGGGAGGTAGGGAGAAAGTGTTTGCCATATATAAGAAAGTCCCATTTAAAAAAAAAAAAAGCTATTCCAGGAATAATTCTTAAGTGATCTTCATCATAAGTGATGCCTTGCTCTGTGAGTCACAGTGCTAGATATATTTTGTTAAACTGTTCATGGGAAATCAGCCAAGTAGGGCTTCTATGCATAAGGTAATGAAGAAGAAAATCAGGATATTTTTAAGAGCTACTGGAAAGAAATGGAAGGCTACTTGGTTGTAATAGCTTTAATGTTCGGTACATCTGGCCTTTGTCCCTGTATTCTGGAGATTGTGTGCCAAGTCAGTTAGGATTTTCCAAGAACTGAAGTCAGACATTGCAAGTTGAACAGAAGGGTTTTGGTGATATGTATTGTATAAGCATGTTGTGAAGAACAGCATATTTAAAACACAGTCCTGTGATTTGTTTCTGTTGTGCTGTTAGATTAGTGGCTCAATGCACTAAACCAAAATTGTCTTTTTCAGATTGTCAAATTGTCAATTTCAAACTGTCACAATGCCATTTCAAATTGTCAAACTTGCAAATTGTCTTTTTCAAATTTGTGTTGGACCACATCAGCTCAAAGATGTACATAGGGAATCTGTACCCTGAAAGCTGTTTCAAAATGTAAACAGCACTGAAAACTACTGGAAAGCTTTTATGAAGAGCAAAATAGGGGGAAATCCCACAGGAAAAATGCCAGTGGGAGGGAGTTGTTCAGAAAATGTTCCATTCTCAATAAGCTTCTTCCTTGCCCATCTTTGTGTGTTTTCACTTTTGTAAGCAAGGTAGACTTTAACAGATGCTAAATTGTTGGATGTTGCCAAGCTGGCCAGTCAAAAGTTCATCAGGGCTGTAGAATATTACTTGAATTTTTTTTTTTACTAATTATCATATTATCTTCTGTTTATATGATCCTTTGCAAAAAGTTACAAATACAGTAAAACATCCTGCTCAGTATGACAGTTTTCTATTAGAGATTTCTATTTGTAGGGCAGAAAATGACTCCATATTCCACTGTGAATCTAAAATGGTTTTTAATAGGAAACTACCTTTGCATTCTTGAAGTCCTGTTGAGATATATTTCTCATTGAAAATAAAATATATTTTGATATGCCTCATTTATTTTAAAAACTAATTTTAGATGTATTAATGATAACTGCTGAGCATGATGATCTTAGTACTGCATCTAGGCTGTTTTTATCCTGGTGAATAAGCTCCAGTCACCAAAAGTCACCACCAGATCATGCATCTGAGCTCAGCTCAGTGAATGATATGGCTATTAAAAAGGAAATACCTTTGTACAGAATATACAGGTATAAAAAGGCTGCTTTCACCATCATAAAGTGATTATTTGTTGATTTTTGAATGGAATACAAGGTTACAAACACATACCAAAATAGTCATTGTTGTCAAGTACACACAATTTATACCTTTCTGTCTGCATCCAGTAATGCTTGAACCTGAGTTATCATCTGATGGTACACTTGTAACACAGCTGCATTACTAACTTCAGTTAGTAATTTCTGTTTCAAAGCAGCTGAGGCACATATGTGCTGCAAAAATGTTTGTGATGCTGCTTGCAGAGCAGAGCTGTGGAACATTCATGATGCAGGCAGAGGTTGTGAAGCACTTAAGGAGCACACATGAAATCTGTGTGGTATCTAGGCTATCTACCTAGATAAGACAGCACCTTTTCCAGCATTCACTGACTTTTTATTCTGAAAGCAGAGCTGTAATTTTAAGTCTTTAACTTGGATGTAGATGTTGAAATAGTTTTATAATAAAATGTTTTAAATGCTTGTCTGTGTCTTTGTTTTTTAAGTCTGATGCAAGCAAGGGCTTTTTATTTTAAATCTTAGGAAATGGAGTTGAGAAAAACAACACTCATACCATGTCAAGTACAGCAGGGGGGAGAAACACTGGAAGAATGATTTGCTTATGCTTGATGTTGTATTGGTTGAGAGGTTACACAGTACCTAAAATCAGTGCATCACCTTAGCCATGTCCTTACTCTTTTTAATTAGGAGGCTATTCATTTTGAGATGAGAACTGGGAATGTTCCATCAGTGTGTGTTCTACACTCTAAAATAGTTGGTTTTTGTTCAGTTTTGAAGAGTGTGAAAATTGACTAAGAAAAAAAGACATCCATCACTGGCTTTATATCTAACAAAAAAGTTTTCCCACAGACTAAAGGGATGGCTCTCTTTCAGCTCTGAAGCAATGGGACAGCTGGCTTTTCATAGCTGGTGTGTAAGAAAATGGTAGTGATCTGATGGTGTCATGACCCAAAAGTCCTGTACAACTGGTGCTTTAGCAGACTTGTGTTGGCTTGGGGCCATCTTGCATCTCTCTTAACTTTAAGAAGATAGAGTAACTGTAAAAATATACATATATACTTTACCTGAAAGAGGAGAGGTAAAAACCAGCCTGACTCCAGGTGTCTGGCAGCAAGTCTGAAAATGACAGCCTTGTGTACTGAGTTTACCTTCCTTAACAATGAGAGTTTCACCTTCTTAAGGGTTTTGACTCATAATGCCAGGGAAGCTGATTACATGACATCCCTTTTTTGAATTTGCAGTTATAGAAATGTACCACTCTGACATATACCAGTGTGCCAGGTATGTTGGGAGAAACAACCCCAAACTAAAATACACCAGGGACTTCAATAAACTACTACAGCAAACAAAAGGAAACCAACAACAAAAACACCCATTTGTTTTCCCATCATTTTTACCATGCTGCAGTCTCTATAGACAGGACTTGCATATTTCCTGTCAGGTTTTTCAAAGCAGAAATACACATACATGCATTCTATACCTTGCCTATGGCAAGCTTGGGATCAGGGGTGCCCCAGTGCAGCAGGATGGACCCAGCTGCTGTCTGTGCAACTCCCTGTTGAGCACACAGCCCCAGCAAACCCAGGACTCCCTGCATCACACTGTGCACAGACCATCAGTCCCAGCCAAGCTCCTGCAGTCTAGAAGGCAAAATGTGGGGTTTTTCCTTCTCCTGCACAAGTCCAGTGGGTAAGAGGCCATGCACCAGCTCTTGGTCACTTTGTGGGGCTGGCTTGTTGCTGGTATGTCAGGGGGGCACTGACATCAGCACATTTACCCATGGCTGGAGTGTTCTGGTTTCACAGGAGATAAGCAGGTGTTGCACTTTTGCCCTTTGCTCTCTGATTGGGACCTTACACAGCCAGGTTCCTGATGTCAACAGAAACCACGCCAAAGCACCCTGTGTTTTCTCTTCCAGATCATTAGCTAAAAAGTGTACACTGATTGCTGGTTAGTGTTAGGGGTGCCTTGGGCACAAAGCCAGATTAATCTCCCTGGAGCCTTGATACACAGTTGTTCATTATCATCATTTCCCTATCACTTAACCAAGTTTTTAAATCTGCCAGACTTTGCCCTTTACATGCAATAATGTCCTTCCCAAAGAATTATTACAAAACAAGCTTTGCTATCTTTGATGAGAAACACTACTGGACTGGAAAAATAGTTGGGTCTTTTCCCTCCTTATGGCAGCAATGATGACTTTAGAGGATTATGTATAACACCAAAGAATTTTTTGCCTTTAAGTTCTTTAGCCATTTGTCAAACAGGAGGCAGAACATGGCAGTTAATGATCCCTCAGCTCAGCTAATTTTTGGGGGTGGGGATGGCAAAGAATAAGGAGCACACTTCTGCATTAACACCTTTGGGTTTGTTTTTCCCAAGAACTGACAACACAGTTTTAAATGCCTATGTCCTGACCCTGTATTACAGGCCCTAAGGTGGCTTTGCACATCTGTGCTGTTGTACATTTGGACAGAATGACTGACTCAGTACCTGGCTAGATGTTTCTACTCCTCACAGTCAGCAAGGAGAAAGGACATGTTGTTAGGCAGCTTCAGTCAGTCCTGCTTCTCTCCACTCACCTCAAAGGGAAGAAGGGGCAGAAATACCCACGGGCAGTCTTAATTCTTCCTTGCAATCTCAAATGTTGGGTATCAAAGCAAGTAGCTGGAACACAGTCTTGGCTCTTTGGAATATCCTGAGGGCTCTTAATAATGTAAGATTTTAATATAAACAGAAAAATATGTATGAGAGGCATGTATGTATATGTATGATCAGGAGCTGCTCCTCATCAGCTCTCCTCAATATTCCTCCTGCAGCTATGAAAGAAAATCAAAGCAGAGTGCAACAAATTGGCCTGTGTAAAGTTAGCCCAATTTCCATGTGTCACATTTGCTTTGCAGTTCCTGATAGGAAGAGGAAAGAAAGGAAAGCATCTGATTTCCTGCTGTGTAAGGGGCACAGCCTTGAGGAATGAATCTCACTGCCTTCCTGGGAGTCATGGCCAATTGAAAATGCAGACAGAACTGTGATGCAGGAAACACAGCAAGAGGTGTGACCACCAATCCCACCATTTTGAGCTGCTGAACATTCTCCTGGAATGTGACAGAGGGTTTCTAGTTTAGAACAGGTATGCTTTAAGTTACATTAATGTGATACAGCCCTGTCTGCAAGCCTCAAATAAGAAAATTAAAAAAAAAAAAAGAAAAAAAAGACACTTGTTTACATTGCTGTTATAGGTTGGGCTTTCTGTACTTTGTCACATCACTGGACTGGGCCTGAAAGCTGAGAACCTTGGCATGGGATTGGGCACGCTGAGTACGACACCTTATCATGGCACTGTGTACATGTCTGTGTGTGTGCTGAGGTGTGAGCTGGATATCACAGCTGCCTCTCATGACCAGTGTCAGGGTACCCAGAGAACTCCAGAGAGCTCTTCTGAAACAGACACCTACTTCTGGTGCCTGAATGGTGGTCCTGTCTCCAGTGGCAGAGTTAGCTGACTGTAATGGAGCCCCAGACATGGGGGCACCTCTAGGCTCCTGTATTTAGATGGCTTCAGCTGTGAGCTGGCTCCCAGCTCATTCAGTGACCTAAAAATAGACACCCAGTCCTATATGAGGCAGGCTGGAGTACCCTTCCTGTCTCTCATCTGTCACTCTGGAAGACAGAGGTCTTCCACAAGTCCTTTGTCATGCCTGCTAGTCCCATGCAAATACCCTTGTATGGGCAATCCTGGCTTTCTAAAGCATCAGTGAATATTTATGTTTAGGTAAATGACTCAAGCCCTCTTACTAGTTCTGTGTTGTTGTGGGAAATTGGAAATACAGAGCTCAAAATTACATTGCTGCTGTGTCATTGCTGGCCAGGGTGGGTATATAATGGAAAATCCCAGACAATATTTATTCTGCAGCAAATGCCAATGGGATCACTGCAGATGAGCTGGCTGCTGGCACAAACTGTGTCAGCCTGGAGCTGCCTCTTGCAGCTTGTCATCAGTGACACTGCTGATCTGTCTGGGTTTGGGACTGGTCCTAGGGCCACATGATTGCAGGAGACAGCATGAGGCTCATCACTCTGCACCCCACAGGGCAGCAGTGCTGCCAGACAGCTCTGAGCCATGCTCACTACTCCTGGGACAGCCAAATACCAATTGCTGAGCAGACCTTTTACAGAAGCTTAGGAGCTAACTGTAGCTGATGCTGACTGTTAAATGCCATGAGGAATATGGATAAATCAGATGCACTGATAGCTCTTTTTTGTAGTGTTTATTCCTTAGAGTGGTTTTCTCTTCCTAGCAGCTTTACTGCCCACAACACCCTGGGTTGATTTTTAACAAATTAACTGGAAAACAGGTTTGAATACCTGCCAGGGCTACTTGTCTCCTCCAATCCCTGTGGCGTGGAGCAGAGTTAGTAACAAGCACTGCAAAGACTATTGGTGCCCAGTGTCACTCCCCTACTCATGAAGGGCATTACAGGTGGAATTCAACCTTCACACAGGGCTGGATCAGATGGTTTGGACCACTCTCAGTGTTACCAGGCTTGTGTCAATGCCTCACAGACCACAGCAAGCTGTTTGCTCAGGCATAAAACTATGTTTGTGTTGACACTTGTTTCTGCTTAGTTAGGGCCTGTTATAAAACCTTCTCATCTCAACTTTCCCCTGCTTCTAATCAGCTTCACCTCACGTTTTACATAAGTACACAATGAAAAAATCTTCATTTTCAAGCTCTGGCCAGGGACACCTGAAGTTTTCATTATTCATGTTATTAATGGAGATGCCCAAAAATCTGCTGATACAAATTCATTCATGTGCTTCTCCTCCATGGCCTTGCCCTCTTGTTCCTGTGTTCTTCCTAATCCTCCTACTGATGCCTGGCTCTGCATGGTCTGAGCCTACCATCTGTAGCCAAAGGATGGGAACAGTCCTTTGGAGACATGTCACCACAGTTCCAAAAACTTTTGATGATTTTTCAAGGCCACTGGATGGTCAGTTCACTTGAGGAAAAAAATCAAATTGTAACACCTTCTGCATATTCCTAGGCTAAGAAGAACAACATCTTCTTACATAGATGTTGTTTTAAATGGCAACATCTATGTAAGAACAGCTGAAACAATGGCAGAATTATTCACTGGTGCAGACAGACCTTGGAAATTATATTTCAGTGCTCAGGGCTTCCTGAAAGAGATGTTACCATCCTTCTCCAATGGATTGTTCTTGCCTTTTCCTTTGCAGCAGAATGATTTTCCTCACCTCTGAGTATTGATTTTAAGGCAGAGGATTTGTCTTGACTTTAAATCTGAGCTATAGTAGTCGAACAAAGCAGAGAAGAACTGGGGATCCTCCCAGATTTGGAGGAAAAAGGTCTACCCTTATCAGGGGGCTGTTTCAGAAGAGGGTGGTTTCTTTTCATAAGAGTAGAAGATGATTCCAGCAACGCTGTTGACAGTGAAAGAGGA